TGCAATAACATTCAGCTGCTCGAGAAGAGGTACAAGTGCCACAATGGGGCCAAGGATGTGTATGTATAAAGTAATAAGTGTAGTGCTGGACCGCTGCATCTAAGGAGAGTAAGAAGGGAAGTAAGACGGGGTGACATGCACAAAGAAGCAGTGGGGGAAAGGAGGAGATAGATTTAAAAGGATTAGAGAATGTCTTGAAAGGGAATACGGGAGTAAGGGAGCTGAAAGGATGAGGAGTGATTGCTGTCAAAAATCTAGCCTTTGGGGGCAATGAGTTCTACAGCAGGAGGCTGACTTATGAACGGATGGAGATGGAGTGGAAGGAGAGATCTTCAGAGCTGAAAAAAATCATGGTGTGGGATGGGGCACTTACTGGGGGGAAGGTTGCCAAGAATGACCATAAAAGGAGCAAAAAGACTGTAAGCGTCGTGCTATAGTTATAAATGCAGGAGGGGGCAGTGGTGGGGAAGTCAGTAGATTGCCCACAGTACACTGCGGTGATGAGTGGAAAATTCTGACTACTCTGAAAAAGCTGTTTTGTTTGCTAAAAGAAAAAAAAAAATGAAATCAGCAATGGAGCACAAGGACATCTAACCCTCCTTTAGTACCTGAAGAATATAGGGTGTGGGGAAAACCAGCCTTGAGTGGGCTGCACAGGAGACATTCAGCTGGGAAAGTGGAAAAGTGGAAAAGGAAACCAGGTTTCAGTTCAGGAGAGAAATGAAAACACACAGATTTTTGGGCAAATTTGCTAATAACAGATAGTGGATTATTACAGAGTACAAAGAAAGGGGGGGGGAAGGCAGGGAAAGGTTAAGGTTGGGGCAAGAGTAGGTAGTGGTTCTCAGTCCTACCTGCACAACAGAACCATCTGGGGAATGTTTAGGATACTAAGGCGGGGGCCCAGAACCCCTGGATCACAATCTCCAGGGGTGCTATGATCCTGACACACAGAGTTGAGAACCACTGGCTCAAGTGATATGTGAAGCACTGTGGAGATAAATGACTTCATTTTCTGACACTGAATGGGGGAGACGAGTAGTGAGGCATGATGGGGTTGGTCCCAGAAGCACTGGCGGGACGGTATTCTTAAGTACTGCTAGAGAAGACAGAATTTGGTACAAGACTCCTAGAGGGCAGTGATTTTACCTCCAGGAGTTTGTTCCAATCTCCTGGTTATTAACAGAGAGGCGCACGGTCATCCACTGCTGTATTATTAACACAGCAAAAATGAAAACGTCAAAGATGCAATGTTATGAAATGTCAAAGTGTCAACGTAAAGATTAACAAAATAAAATGCAGCCATTTACAAAACTTAGAATATGATTTACTGTCATGAAAAAAGATTCAGGATATATTAAATAGAAAATGCAGTTTCAAAAAAACCATTATGTATATAGCAGGGTATCAAATCGAGAGACCCTGACTTTTACACACCAACACAGATAACAGACTGGAAGACCTTTAAGAAAGGTATCAGCGTTCATCTCTGACAAGTGCCAAGTACTAAGGGTGACTTTTTTTATATTTTGAAAATTCCTTGCACACAGTTTACATTGATAGAAAAAAGACTTTTGTTTGGGGCGGGGGTGGTGGTGGTGGTGGATTATTTAAAGAAACGGGTTTACAATCAGTCTGAATTCCTACTATTTCCAAGGAGAATTTGGTCTGGCCCAATCTGTTTCTGGTGACAGGAACATAACACGGGCTTTGAAGTATTAAGAAAAATCATCTCAAACTTGGAAATGAAACAGAAGACAGTACACCCTGTCCTTTCAAATCCCAACAGGGGCACTGTTTTAACATGCCTGCCAACGGGATTTCTTACTCGAGGACAGTGGTTCTCAAAACGTAATCCGAGGACCTCTAGGAGTCCCCAGTAGACTTTTGGGATTCTGGGAAGATCCTCCTTTTCCAATTACATAACTGTGTGAGGCCAGATTTTCTTCATATACTTCAACCAAAACAACATATTGCAACATACGAATGTGGAAGCTGATAATGAGAATCCAGCTGTCTGCTAAGCCAGTTAAGTGTTCTATTTGCAAACATGTAAAATAATGCCTTTTTTCCCTGAGAGAGAGGTATAGAGGTATTCTCTCCATTTTACAGATGAAGCAGCAGAGGCTAAGCTGTCACATAGTGTTTACCCAAGTTCATAAAGCATGAAGGGGTGGCGATGGGACCAAAGCTCAGTTTTAACTCCAAGGTCCATCTCCTTTTCCTGAAATTAAAATTTAAGTATGCTTCCAAGTTTTTAAGTAGTCTTTACATTTTGTGACTGGGAAGTCTAAACTAATGCTCAAATGATCCCCACCCCATCCCCCAAACAAGTTAGCGATGGACAAGCTTCAGGAAGCCATTTATCAAGAGTACTGGCCAAATAAAGGCAGAGCATGGAGCACTAAAACAAGAAAGAGTGCAAATTTTCTATTCCTGCTTCCGAAACACCCTTCACATTTTATTATCTGACTCTCTCACCAATCCTGTGGTAGGGAAAAACTCAAAAAAGAAGAAAACTATTAAGCAGCAATCCAAGGTCTAATTGTTCTCTCCTCAAAACCCCATTTACCCTCAGAAGAATCAAAGCCGTCACATGAGCATAAAGAATTACTTAGTGGCCTAGGAAAATGTCTGTTACATGGGGGGGGGGGGGATGGGCGGAATCACATACAGGATAATTGTTTTGGGGTAAAATAAAAATGAGGAGTGTTTTATGCATACACAGACGTGTCAGTAAGCACAGGAGCAATTTCAACAGCACACCAAATAATGGTTACCTGTGAGGTGCACAATCAAAAAAACAGGAGAATTTCACTTCTTGTTTTAGTATGAGTAATATTATGGGTGATTTTCACCTTGTTTCAGTATTAATAAAATCGTGTTTCCTCCACCTTTTGGTGCTTTACAGAATGCCAAGACAGAGCTTTCATCGTGAGTAGAACATTACTTGTCTGTGTCTGAAACTTCATACTGATCGAAACCCCCGGAGATGTGCAGTAGCATCGTCGTTTGCAAGCCTGAGGTACCCCGGATGCTCTCTTTGATAACGTGCTTTTCCTACCAACTTCACAGGACTGTTGTTCCGATACAGGTGGAAGTGCCTTCCTGGGCTATACAAGGCTGTGACCCCCTCTTCTCAACCTTTTTGTACATACTTGAGGCACTTCTGACCTGGTCAACTGCTAGGTTTGGCTCCGAAGAGCCCAGAAAGTCACAAATCTAAAAGACCATGCAGGAGTTTTATTGCATTGAAGGATGTCAAGGGTAGATCAATTCCTCAACCTGAACTCCAGCAAACCCCAAATCTGAAGGAGAAATCCCTAGGATCTACGACTTGGGTAGAGAAAGTAACAATTCTGTTCTCCTTGGAAAAGCCCGAATTCAGCTGTTTGCCCAGGAGGCCTCCTGGAAGATTCCCTAAAGTTAAGTTCCATGACAGAGGCTCCTAACCGAATCCAAGAAAAGTCCTCTGGTTAGCAAACCCTGTGAGATTAGTAAACACTGGCCATGAGAAGACAGCTGCCAGGAGCACAGCCCACCGCTCTCCAGGCTGGTTTTTTATCATCATCCCATGACTAGGACAGCAAAGGGAAAACAGGTGCACAGGCTGATGCTGATCAAAGTTTGGGAATTCAGCCACGAATAAATGCTGTGTGGAGAACAGACCCAAGCAACCTCCACCAGCACAAGCAGCTGATCAAACAGCCAATTCCGTAGCTAGTTCAAAGGCTAAGCAAGTGCTTACTGAGACTCTGTGAAAAAGGCCACTTGAGGATTTATATACTGCCCCACTAGCAGCACAGTGCTAGCCGCACTGTTGACCGAAACTTGGTGGTGTATTTTTTAATAGGTTCTTAACCAAGTTAAGACCAAACTTTTTTAATCCCAAATAATGAAACAATGTAACTAACACCAACAGCACTCACACCTTCAGCAAGGAGGAAGCCCCTAGTCCGCCTAAGTCTGAAAATAACTAAAGCCCAGTCCAGGTCAGAGTTCTCTGAAAACATAACCCTCGCAAGTGAAATACTGCTCTTCAATACTACAAATAGAGTAAGTTCAAGGAAGTGAGGAGGACTAGCTATCTTCATGAGAAATAATATATTACAACAGGGGCGCCTGGATGGCTCAGTTAAGCATCGCACTTTTTTTTTCCTTTTTTTTTTAAAGATTTAAAAAATCTTTAAAAAAATATTAGCAAGAGAGCGAGCGAGCATGAGCAGGGAGGAGAGGGAGAAGCGGGCGATGCAGGGCTCAATCCCAGGACCCCGAGATCATGACCTGAGCCAAAGGCAGATGCTTGACTGACTGAGCCACCCACGTGCCCAAGGGTCCCACTCTTGATTTCGGCTGAGGTCATGATCTTGGGGTCGTGAGATCAAGCTCCACATTGGTCTCACTGGGCATGAAGCCTGCTTGGGATTCTCTCTCTCTCCCCTTCCACCTCTACCCCCACCCCACCCCTACACTCCCTCGCTCTCTCTCAAAAAAAATTATATATATATAATATATGACAGACTCAGCAGGGTCGTGAATGATTGTCCCTTCCACAAAAGTAAATTATTTGTGTCTTAATTAGGAAGATAAATCACTAAGTATTTCTTTTAAAAAAACCTTCCATATTATATGGGTTACTATAAAATTGTACCACAGCAAATGCACTAACACCAAAGTTTGATCAGTCAACAGTTTTGAATATCACTTCTTATTTAAGTTACTTTCAGAGTCTTCCAGCTGAAACCAAATTGTTTTTTTCTTGGAATTCTTCATAGAATCTTACCTTCTTTGTGGAAAACACATTCTCCAACAAGAAATACTACCAAATCCATGGTCTAGATTTCACAACTCTTTTCTTGTGTTTTGTTTTGTTTTAAAAGGTAAGCTCTGTGTCTTTAAATGCAGAAGAATTGCTATTATACAACAAACTTTTTATTTTTTCATTCATAAAAACAGTCCACAGCATTCATAAAACAGGGTGGTAGAAGAAATAAAAAGACTTTTCAAGTTGATTCTTTATGTTTTAAGAACAGATGAGTCGGTAGCAATTTAATACAGATGGAAACAATACAATCCATATAAAAACAGGACTTGAAAGGAGGAGGGGAGAAGATTATACCAACCGAAGTAAATTTAGAGCTTTCAGGCATGCAACTCAACATCTGAATTTTCTTCACTTAAAAACCAAACTAGGTGCTTTAATAATAGGTGTCTATAAAGAAGGCTACAAAAATATTGCAAAAATGTTAGCCTTACATATACCACAAAAAAAAAAAAAAAAAAGTGAGAGAAAGAGGGAGAAAAGAAATTAACAAATCCCCAGCTACACCTAGGCTAATCACAAGTTTTCCCTAACAGAGACAGACAAAGAAAAATAATTTTTACAAGCTTAGCTTTGGGTACAATACCTTAGAGCTCTCACGTGGGTGTTTTCCTGCTCATGCTCTTTTCAGTATAAACAAACATGGTTTATGTAATGGAATACATACTTGAGGGATTCCTTAAAAAAGAATCACAAGTTTCATTTTATATATACAACAAATTTTTAATTATGTACTGAAAATAAATTACAGGAAATAACTTTAAAATGCAACAGAGGACAAAGTCACAATAAACATTCCCATTGACTTCCCTTGGTGGGGGAGGGGAGGTGAGATTGCAGTGCTCAAGGAAGATAAATATCACAAATATATCAAAAACTTCAAATTGTCTATGCATTCACACACTGACATGAGCCACAAACATTCCTTCACAGGGACTGTACTTAGCCTACCACAGAACCAGATTTTGCCATAAACTACAAAACTTTTAATACAAAATCGTATTTATATATTTATAATTCATATACATGCCCTATCTGTGATTTTAGAAAATAAAAGCTACACACTGTACAGACACTCTTAACTCATAGCTGTAGGCAACATTTTTGGATGGAACTTCTCCCCCAATAAAATTAATGGCATATTTTATGTACATGAAGGCTAAACTGCATAAAGACAGTTCAGTTTCCCAGATATGCATCTCCTTTTAGGGCAGGTTTATAAATTTAAAAAGGCAAGACAAATGTACACCTCAGAATCACTTTCTTAGCTACGAGAGTTGTCATGTAATTTCCGTGAAATTTCTGATACATGCACGTATGTAATACTGGTATTGAAGGCAGTAAAGCAACATGTACTTTTCATGTAGTGGCTCGATAAAGGCTTCATTGTCTTCTGATCTGGTTCTTGATACAGTGATTCATAACTTCACGAAAAATTAAAATTTCAATGGGACACTGGTGTTAAAGAGACTCTGAATAGACTTCTTAAAATACTTCCCTGAAATATCCTTGTACACAAGACAAATTTCACCACCGTTAGATTAAAAGAAAAAAAAAATAAAAGAAACATGGCACAAATGTGCATGATAAACTAATGCTCCTCAGCCAATCTCCATGTCTTAGGAGCCAAGAACAGAATGTTTAAAACCAACAAACAATTTTCACACTCTGTGGCAGCCCTCTGTGAAGCCAGTTATACTAAACTACTTCTACAGTTGATTGTAAACTTTGGTTTATTTTTATTTGAGTTCTCATTGTACAGCAAGCATGAAAAAAAGGGAGAGTGGAGTCCATGAGGAGACGAACTGTCAGTCTGTCTTTAATCTGGCATGATGAGACACCTGGTCAGTCAGGCCTGCTTTGATAGAGTTTGTTACAGACTGCCTTATGTTTTCCTCCATCAAATTATCACCCAGAGGCTTCAATACCTGTGGTATGAGAAATGCGCAAAACAAATAAAAACATGAGGTAAAAAAAGAGTTACATATAAAAATAGATATAAAAATTCAATTCAAAGCAATGAAGAAAATAACCAGGAACGTGGGAAATAAAAAGATGCTTCTCCCAAAGAAAGTTATGATGCTACAAATAACGCAGTTAGACACTTGATAATGCAACATAAACTACTTTCGTCCTATTCAAACCATTTACAATTCCTAGGAGACGGATGTGCGATTCCATACCCTATATGCAGCATCAAATCTGGTAAGTATACAGCATTTATGCAGACCGGCCCAGACGGTCCTGCTTATTGTCCTACATGTATAAGTGGGAACACTTCAGATAGAGATAAAAGTTAAAAATACTGTCTAATTTTTCTTCTTGTTATTGTTGGATGACAGTCTCTGTCGCTGTGCTGATGAAAGAGCACGATGGACCATTCGACGTCTAGTAACTTCAAACAGTTTGGAAAACACCTAAAACATGGAGTGATTCGTTAGGACAATGACTCAGAGTGCCTTGAACTTAAAGACTTTAAGACTACAAGAATCTGAGACTGTGGGTTTCTCACCTTCCTGGGACTCCTCTGAAGCAAAAGAAAAGAGAAATGCAAGAAAATTTAGGCAAGGTTTGTTGACACAGCACAGATCTTCTCTGACTAGTGATCAACTTACCTTAACTACAATGAAAATACTTTTACACACTTTAGATTCGTCCATTTAATTGTTTTGTAATAATGGTACTTCTAAAGTCCTAGAATCAATGCTATATAGGAGAATGACTGGTTTTCAAAGTAAGACACTGTACAATGATTAAAATTCATGCTGCAGAAAATTAGTAATGGTCCAAAATTTTAAAGTTGATAATTTTTTTTTAAAAAGATTGCTGATAGCTTTTTGTCCATCCTCTATTAGAAGGTATCAAAGGAATATGAAGAGAGATTTTTTTTGAGATAAAGGGTTAAATTTAACAAATATCCAAACACAAGCTTCCAAATCAGATCCGAATAAATCGAGCATTTCTCTGGAGAATAAATACAAAATCCAAATTAATATAGTGGGTCACTTTATAAAATAATAATGACATTATTAACAAGAAAAGTCAATACCCAATAAACCTTCCTCAAAAAATGATTTACTTCTTCAGTCTTTAAATTTAAAGCCAAAACCAACATGAACCTGCATATCCTAGATCTTCAAATAAGCCCAATACTTCATCAGCCCAGAAAAGATTCTGAAAATGCCTATTATACTGTCCATCAATAATAATATCTGCAGCTTTCATTCTGATCCTCGACATGATGCTCAAGTATTTCACGATGATCATTTTAATGACAACATCCTTAAATGGAATTTTCTGAACACAGGCAATTCCAGCACACAGTTGGCCAATATACAACATGGTTTTCCTTAGTAGATTCTTGTCAGGCCCGACTCTGAATTCTGGTTTGAGGTAAAAGATTATGATTTGAATTCTAGTTGAGGTAAATGATTATGATTACGTGAAGCTGGTTCTCTTTGTAGCACTTTGTTCATTAGTGTTTCCATAGAAGTTGAACAAAATTCGTTTGGTGAAAGAAAACCCTATAGGGTTGTTCCTTGTCGTGCATCAGTAAATCACCACTATCTTCATGGAAGGCAACAAAGACCTGAATGCCATCCAATATTTTTCCTCAAATATTAAGCATGCATTGCTTTTTGCCAGTATTACTACGAAACTTCTTTTGCTTTCCTAAAGCACTGCACTTCCAAATTTCTTTTCCTTACACTGACTATATTTTCTTTCCTCTAAGAAAAAAATCCTTAGAGACTCTGGTCCTGCCCATGGTCTGGCATCATCAGGCCTATGACTAAGAATCTATCAAAAGGATATTACAGATTTCAGCCAATCAAAGCACACTATAATTATGACTTTAAGAAAAAAATTCTCCGGTTCATAATTGATATTCAGATTATACAACCAAACAAAACAGAAAACATCCTTTGACATTCCTCATATAAAGGAAAAGTAGGTGTTTGCAAATACTGCAGGAGAAGGGTGGGGAAGTGTCACGGGGATGAAATTAGTCACTGAAAACCAAAAGATAGATACCAACCTGTTCCCATAGAGTTTCAGCAATCTGATCAATCACTGTTCCAATTTCTCTGAACTCCCCAGAGTATTTTACATATGCCCAAGTACAAAGAGATGTCAGTGCTAACCCCATGATAAGGTTACACAAGACGGCTATAGAGTTTAGGCCAATGAAGCCAGTCAGTCCTGAGATTATATACATAGCAAACATGACTGCAAACAGTGTGGCAGGAGTACGAGCAGCATAGAAGATATTTTTGCCATCATTGTGCTTTATAAAATTTGCATAGGTTTCTTCAATTTCAGCTTCAAGCTGGTCCTGATAACGATGGCAGAATTCATCTCCACCCATTTTTTTTACTGAACGAAACTGTTTAATCGCCACTTCCTTGAGATCCAGGTGTTTTCGCTCCAGATCTGAAGGTGCAATGTAAGGCTTGTCCCCACCACATACCTGTCCAGACAGGATTACAGAAGGACACATTACAGGCTAGAAATAATTCACACTTGAAAGAAGCTCCCTGCTCACAGTTTTTAATCTCAAAAAGCCAAGCCACCTACATAGTTGAGTTTTAAACTTATTCACAATACCTCACATATAATCATAACTTATTTCTTACATGTTTAACTGACTCAGGCAAAATAAATCTTCCAAGTATGACTAATACCAGTAAAGACAAAAACAATTACACTGCAATCTGTACCTGACTTCACTTGACCCACCAACACACCATGAGAATACAGAAAGACTGCTGGCAGAAAGTGGGTAAAAGAGAACACAGAAAAAAGGTACTTTAATGTTCGAGTTAGCAAGGTTAGCACATAAGCTGCTATTGGCCTTAAACTAGTATTACATCAGAAGCTACTAATAAGAGCACTCTGAATCACGTGTCAAAACTATTTTAGTATGATTTGTATAATAACCTGCCACCTGTATCCTGCACACTGCACTCTAACCATGTGAATTATTTTCTTAGTTTATTCCCAGCAGAGATGATAAAAGGGAATCAGGGAATGATGTAACCTGACAGTGCATAAGGAGCGCAAATTAGTTCAATTATTTTAAATGTAAAAATCCTCTCTCTCACTCTAGCGTCAAATTTAAATGTTGGTTACAAACCTGCTCCATACTTTTGCAGTAGATCTCTCTTGCTCCTGCTACTGCAGCAAGATTATTAGCTTCAGCTGTTGCCTAAAAAAAAAAAGTGCCAATTTTATGCAAAAGATACTCAGTGGCTCTATAAATTCTAATTAACACAATAAATTATATATAATGAACAAGCCTGAAAATGAACCAGAGAAAACATTATCAACTTCCAGTTTTCCTTTCCAATGGAAGGGAACACCAGTGTAAAAGATAAAATAATTGCTTCTAATAGGACTGCCTGTCTAATTTTGTTTTGCTTAGGTTTATTAAAATGGGTATGTAGGGGTGTCTGGGTGGCTCAGTCGGTTAGGTGTCTGACTCTTGGTTTCAGCTCAGATCATGATCTCAGTCAGGGTCATGAGATCGAGCCCCGTGTTGGGCTCTGTGCTCAGCGCAGTGTCTGATATTCTCCCTCCCTCTCCCTGCCCCTCCCGCTTGTACTCTCTCACTCTCTCTCTAGAATCTTTAAAAAAAAAAAAAAGAGTTTGTACAAAACACCACACATGCTCAGTAAATAACAGAGAAACAGACACAACCCTAAATTTGTCAAGCCTCCAGATGTACAGAACCAAGAATTAGAGATATGCTTGATCTCTCATATCAGTATTACACAAGAGACTTTAAATCCACAAAACTGCTTATTGCAGGAGTTTTAGAAGAAAATACTGTTTAATCTACTATAAAACTGAGAAACTGCCCAAAATAGCAAATCTTTAAAAATATGAACTAGATATGTATCTGAAAAAAATTAAACATAAATTTGAGTGAAAAATTAACAGTATGAACGCAATAACATAAAATTTACTAAGAACAGATTGACATGAATGTAACGTTAATTATTCTTGATTTCTTAATTAAACTGTTTTATCTTTTTTTTAAAAAATGAACTAGTTGGGGCACCTGGGTGGCTCAGTTAAATGTCTGCCTTTGGCTCAGGTCATGATCTCCCACTATCAATAAATACAATCTTAAAAAAAAAATGAACTAGGTTAAAATAACACTGTCTCAAAAGAACACTTCCCCCCCCACAAGATTTCATTTATTTATTTATTTGACAGAAAGAGAGAAAGAGAGCGAACAAGCAGGGGGAGCAGTAGAGGGAGAAGCAGGCTCTCCACTAAGCAGGGAGCCCACGTGGGGCTCGATCCCAGGACCCCAGGATCACGACCTGAGCCAAAGGCAGATGCTTAACCAACTGAGCCACCCAGGAGCCCCCAAAAGACACCTTTTGAAAAAAAAGGGAAAAAAACCTATATGCACTAGAAGCAGCTCTAAATCCTTATATCAAGAGGAAAAATACGCCTTATTTCAAACATTCACTGTCAAAGACTCAGAGAACAGAAGAAATTTGGTTTAGACAGGCCCATTTTAAGCCATCTCCTGCAAAAGCAATTTTTCTACACTTTTCCAGCAACTAAAGAGAAGGTACTGAAAACTCTCATTTCTGATGGCCTATGTGTGTGCAAGGTCTGCAATCATATAAAAACTTCAGGGCCCAAGACGTGTATTGCCTTAAATATTTGAAATTTATTTGCATGCAAAGAAGCATGATCCCATTTCCAGCATTTATCTCTAAACAAAGACTTTTCTCCTTCATAAATAAATATATGTATAACACACACACTACCTGAAGCATGGACTTTGGATGTGGAAGTTCCTCTCCTTGATAAATTTTAATGTAAGCCTAAAAATAAAAAGACATTATACTGGCAGATTAAACAACTTGGCTCTACAGAAGAAAAACATTAAATATAAAAATAATTCATACTTTTAAAAGGAAACGTCTCGAAAAAAAATTCTAAATAAAAAAAATGGAAAAAAATAAATAAAAGGAAAATGAAGGCTTAAAAATCATACACTCTCATTTCCAAAAAGTTAACTCTGTTCTCAACTCTATTAAAAACACATGTTGCAAAAAAAAATACCTTGCTAAATTATACCTTAATGTTTCTAAATATAATTCTAACTTACATACAAATTATCTCATATTTAAAAGTTATATATACAATGAAAAGAAATCCCTAATTCTCCCCTCCTGCCATTGTTTTAAATGTTAGAAAACATTTTTACTCAGTATTTCACTTTGACCAAGTTAAATTATATTTCAGTTCAAGGAAAAAAATTACCTAATTTATGCTTTAAGAGTAAGAAGGATTAATTAGTTCATATAGGAACTGTTCATCTCAACTTTTTACTGCCTCTAAATGTGTAACTAAACAAAAATAGTATGAAAATGACCATCAACTAACTGTCCAATAAATAACCAAAATTACACTCTTAAGTTAACTGTAATTTCCCTTCCATCTCTCTGTAACTACTATGAGTAAGAAGAACTCTGACAATGGTCTTGCTCTGGCAAGCAAGCAATGATGACTAGAAAAGAGCAGAAAGGAAAAAAAAAATCTATGAATAATTTACTTGAACTCAGAAACCAGTTTTGTACTTTCAGCTGCTCTTATCAAGTCCTCAAGAACTCAGAGAGAAGGCTTTTATGAGAACTCAAGATGCAGAACTGCACTCCCAATATCTATCATCATTCACAAGTGAGAGTGGTATGACAATTATATGTTGAATGGTCTTCTCTCTGTATCAGAGCTGGAGAAAAAGTAGGTAATTCCATAAACAAGCAAAATCACTGTCTAAGAGATACAAGTTGTCTGCTATTATTTTATATATCCTTAAAAATTGATCTAGCCAATTCAAAACAGAAAAACTATAAATTTCACTTTTCTGCTTTATAAACATACATATGAGTTTTAAGTCAGCTATATTTCTGAGACAAAGTCATTTAATGTGGGAGTTTTCCTACCTTAAAGTATTCTACAAGATCTCTACAAGTGACTTTAGATCCACTTATCTCTTTTTCTACCAAATTCTCAGGTGCAAGCAGCAATGGAACCAGGTTTCGAAGTTCTCGTTTAAAGTCTTCATCAATATCTAACAGATAATGAGATAAAAGGCAACACCTTAGTGAAAAAAAGAAAGATTACAGGAGTCCCCACCGGTACGCGTTCATAAAATTCTGTTTCATGAAACAACAATATACAGTGTCTATTACTTAAGTAGATTCATTTAAAAAAACTCATCCAAACACATCATATTTCCCCTTACTCTGCTACTCCATTTCCCTCATCCCCCAATAATTCTTTAAGCTCAAATAATAAGTTGTGGACTACCAAAATAAATTCCATATTCTTTTCAAAAGGCAAATAATTCATGAAATTGTACTAAATTTTAATACTAGATTTTGTTTTTTGAGCTATACTGTAAAACTTTCATTATTCCTCCAGCCTTTTGCCATCATGCTCCAATCCAATCCTAAAATATACTCAAAAAATTTTATCATCCCTAAAACAGAAACTTGAATCTGATTACATGAATACGATATATTGGTAAAACATTTTAAAGACTGCAAACAGATGAAATACTGAAATGTTCTCAGCCTTCGGAATTTATAGGACACTGGTGCTGAGCAATAGACCACATAATAAAATATGCTAATCCATACACTAGACAGTCAAGGACAAACCAATGGAAAGCTAGACAGACCACACAGAGCATTAAAATCACCTCATTAACCAATGCATCAAAATGTGTTCCAGTATAAGACAGAAAATTTAAGGAACCATGTATTTTTTTTTAAACTCTCAGCCTCTAAAAAGTAAGTTCTGATTTTAGCAAGAATGGGAATTCCCACCTTTCAATCTCCCATCAAAACTAGGATTAGTTGCAACTTTAAGACCAGGATGTGGCAAAAGGAAGCAACCAAGATTTGAGAAACAATTGTGAATGTGCTTCCTTACATTCTGTAGCTCTTCATGTTGATTTTGTTTTACCTGAGGGTAGAAGGAGACAGGGTGAAGGTGCAAACAGGAAAAAAAAGTTTTAAAGAAAACATACACCCATACTCACAAGTGTGCACACTTAACTCAGATGCTACTCCAGATGGGTTTTTGACAACAAAAAATTTTACTAAAGACCCATTTCTGACCACTTTGGTAAGACCCCACTTTGTCTTAAAACTAGAAAAGATGTTTTTTCCCATGTTAGCTGCCAACGAATGAAAAATACAAATAATTAGGGGCGCCTGGGTGGCTCAGTCGTTAAGCGTCTGCCTTCGGCTCAGGTCATGATTCCAGGTCCTGGGATCAAGCCCCGCATCGGGCTCCCTGCTTGGCGGGAAGCCTGCTTCTCCCTCTCCCACTCCCCCTGCTTGTGTTCCCTCTCTCGCTATGTCTCTGTCAAATAAATAAATCTTTAAAAAATAAAAGCCATGAGGTTAAAATATATATGTGTGTGTGATTTTCTCCAAGATGGCAGAACAAGTTGA